AAAAAAAAAAAAAAAAAAATCTCCATCAGCACAAATCAGAATCTTCAAACCCCACCGACTCGTTACTCTAGAAAGCGCCACGTATAATTGTCCATGACTAAATACAGGACTCTTCAATAGTAAGCCGACATGCGACAGTGACTGGTCTTGACTCTTATTGATTGTCATTGCATAGAAACCATGAGAGAGAACTGCCTTCGCTGAAACTTGAACGGTACCCTCAAATCGGATGGTATGATTGTGAACCTGGGAATAAGAACCTTATCACCAGCTCTGGCACCAGTTAGAATTATGCATTCTAAGACATGGCTGCTGAGCTTAGTAATAACCAATCGAGTACCTGAATCAAAATTTGGATAACAAAAACAAATCACTAGAATTTGTACATAAATCAAATAAAATATAGACAATATAACGAATATTAATCAACATTACCGTTGCACAACCCCATGGAATGATCAATGTTTCAGAGGAGCATCACTGGAGTGCCAACCTTCAAGTGCAATTTATGGTTAGGAAGTCCAGAGCACTTAATCCCATTGAGAAATTCAGGAGTATGAAGATCGTGAAGATAGTCATATCCAGCATCTGACTTGCAAGCGGTGTCCGAACTCAAATAAGTTCTTCCCTCGGAGGAGTTCAATGAGCTTATGTACTCATTGACGGACTCAACAACAATAAGAGTAGGAGCGAGTATAGCTCTGTCCTTCAAGTAGCTAAGATGGTCGCCCGAACTCCTAAACATTGGGTACATACTCTCAACAATAGAAGCAATAGGATCACCTTGTGATTTAAGAAGAATATCGCGGGGAATGTCGATGTCAGCACATCCATCGTTCGGTCCACCAGCAGTAGCGTCGCCAATGCTTGCAAGCCACTCCGAGAAAAGCCTCAACTCATCGTACTCACCGCCCCCACCAAGGCTTCGAAGCCTCATGTTCTGAGTAAGTTTCAGAACGATACAATCTCGCCATAAGCTGGACGAATTGATGGTCGCATTCACTATGTCACTCCGAGTGCCTTTAGGCACAACAAGGAGAATCTGTTTGAAATTGCCACCAAATACAACAGACTTGCCGCCAAAAGGGAGATTTTTCCTCGATGGATCCACTACTTGCATTAAGGCTCGTAAGGTGTTGTCAACTGCCTGAAAGCAATACTTATTCATCATCGGGGCTTCGTCCCAAATGATCAACCGACAACGTATAATCAGATCGGCTAACGGAATCTGCTGGCTAATGTCACATGTGGACCCTTCAGTTGGGTTTATCGGGATTCGGAATCGTGAATAGGCAGTCCGGCCACCGGGAAGCAAAAGTGACGCGATACCGCTCGATGCAACGTATAATAAGATTTAATTTTTTTCGAATGAAAAGAGAGACGAAAAAGTGAAATCGTCCCGATTTTGAAAATCTAATATACTAATTCATTGTATATCGGTACAAATCGGGCGATTACATGATAATCTTTACAGATCTAAATATTTTTGGTTAATTTTTTTTATTGTTTTAAAAATTTTTGTATTAAACTCAGGTTGGCATAACATATCTATATAGATATGTAGTGTTTTCGGTTGATTCCATGATAGATCTGGATGATATACAAATATCCGATTTTTTTTTTAATTTTTTTAACGTTTTTCTTGAGTTTAAATTGTAATTAGTTATCAGATCTGTAAAGATCTTTAGTTTTTTTATGT